TGACCACGACCTGTGATTTTACTTCCACATTCTCCATTAACTCTGCTTGTCACAAGCCGGTTGGGAAGCACACAAACGGCAATCCTCTGATGGCTGGGGAATTCTGGGAGTTGAAGTCCACTCATCTTAAAGTGACCAAGTTTGGACAACACTGATCTATGTGGTCACGAGGAGTTGAAATCGACTTGATGGCACATAATCAGTTGAGGCAGAGGTTCTGTTTCGTTTTATGGACCGAGATCTGGACCGGTGAGAAACCCAGGGCTAGCGCAGCACCTTCATCCTGGGGTTGATAACCATCAAGAGCAACTTCATCAGATAGCAGATCTTCATTTCTTCTCTTTCAACATCCTTCTAGGTCCCTGACACTGTTAAATCAGGTACTTAGTGATTGAACCCATGGTGCTCATTCTGAGAAGGGATCCAGCCTTCAGTGTAGTGTTTTTCAAACCTGGCAACTTTACAATGGGTGGACTTCAACTCCCAGAATTCCCCAGCCATCAGAGGATTGCCGTTTGTGTGCTTCCCAACCGGCTTGTGACAAGCAGAGTTAATGGAGAATGTGGAAGTAAAATCACAGGTCGTGGTCACGTGATGTTTCGCTTAATGACCACAGTGACTCGCTTAATGACCAAATGGGAAGTGATGTTCTAAATCTGTCGGTCATGTGATCTTTCACATAGCAACCATGGCACTTAGCGATGGAGTTGCCCGTCCCAATTGTGGTCACTAAGCAAGGACTATCTATATATCAAGGGGGTAGGAGAAGGGTTTGGAGACCCCTTGTGAATATCAATGAGGGCCCCACCACTACACCCTGTGTGTCCATGCCTCATTGCAAACACATTAAGCCCAGCCCAGGCACAATGACAGTGTGTGTGAATCAGTCTTAGAATAGGCAATGACAACTTTTCTCCCTCCCAGTATTTTGATTATGATTAACGTGATCCATAATTTATCCATAATTTTTACTTAATTCCAGTGGGTCTACTCTAAAACTAGGTTCAGATATGGTTTATCCAATAAAGCACAACTGGCAGATCTACAAAACAATAATCTCTGCTTTGTATCCAAGTGGCTGAAGGAATAATTGATACGGAAGAGATTCAATATCCTTGCACACATACTGTCAGACACTTGCCATATTATGAGCTGGAAGAAAAAATCAAATGTAGACATCTCCTTCTCAAAACTTTTATTTTTATTATGCATAAACAAACACCTGTTGTGTAACATGGACTTCCATCAGACTGGAGATCTTTTATTCAAGAATCAGGAGAGATGAGAACAGAGAACAAGAGATACAGTTGGTGGGGCGAATGTTTTTTCTGCATCTGTTAAAAGTCAAGTTCCCAACACACTCAAGAATTGGCAGAACCCACCCCCCCGCAGTAAAACTATGTTTTTATTCTCAAGCTTCAAATTCTCACATCTAAAACCAATATTTTCTTACAGAACGTCGAAGGCAATTTAGAAGAGTGTTTTGCAACCTCAGCAACTTCAAGATGTATGGACTTGAACTCCCAGAATTCCTCAGCCAGCATGAGAGTTGGTCTATGCAGGCTGGCTGGGGAATTCTGGGATTTGAAGTCCACACACCTTAAAGTTTCTGAGGTTGAAAAACACTGGTTTAGGACAAAGCCTGATTTGACCCAAGGCTAGCAAGAGAAAAGCGCTAACAGGTATCGGATTTGGAGGCCAAAGAGTTCCAGCTGGCAAAGTGGGCCTCCGGTGATCTCAGCTGCCTCTATCATTCCCAGAAACCAGGGCTGCTTCAAGTAGTCAACCACAATCAGTTTATAGTCAGCACATCACTCTGGATCACATGACTCAGCTGGGTTTGGAGGTCGCTCAACTTCTTCTTCAAGCCAGATAAGGCTGAGAGGACAATGGTCTCAGGACGCAGAGAACCACAGGACTCCACATTGTAATAAAACCTAAGGGAGGATAAAAAGGTTGGAGGAGCTTAGCTTAATTGGAGGTTCAAACCTAGCACTTTGGGTTTGTAATCTGTGGTTTTATTAATGTATTCATTGTGCTCATGGGCCACTGAATCAGCAATTCAATGGCTCCTGGCAATCTGTGCCTTATCATGGTGTTCAACAAGCCATGATTAAAACAAAACATGGATTAAGCTGATGTGTGAACAAAGTACTGGATTGACTTCAGGGGAGGTAAGAGAATGTCATCGCCCTGAGAGCTGCTTAGACTGGTCTTCTCCAACCAGCTGCATTCCAGCTGCAGAAAGTCTGGTTTAGGTGCCCTGTTCCTCACCTTTCTGGCTTCCCGTTGGGATCGTATGGTGCCTGGGCTTCATCTTCATCAATTTCAGAGTATTCGCTCTTTGGCCTAAAAGGAGACAGAAACACACAGCTGATGTGGCAAGGTGCCTCCTTCCTGTTCTTATCTGGGAGCTGTGGATACCCAAAGTTTTATAAGTCAGCTTGCACTGAATAAACTAGGATCAAGAACCAAAAACACAGAAAAATCTTGAGCAGATTTGGGCAATATAATGGCTAGGGAAGTCTTCCCAACATGGTACTCTCCAGAGCTTTTCAACTTCAGCTCCTAAAATTTCCGGCTAGCACAATCATGCTTTGAGCAATCAGTGTTCAGTACAGCACATCAGAAAAGAAGAGTAGAGTAGCAGGCTAAGGAAGATTTGGAAAGGAAGACCCCAGCTTCCAAGCCCAAGAGTTCAACAATCAGGGTCAATTAAACTGATCGCTCCTTCTGAAAGGATAAACCAAGGTTGAAATCAGTTGATAGAATCTTTGTTTCTATTTTCTTTTTAGCCATCCAAATAAAATACTACGTAAATATATGCAAGTAAACCTGGATGCCAAATAAACTTTTTGAAGAGTGTAAAAAAAAAAAGAAAAGAAAAGAAACAGACATTTAGGCTAATTTGTTATGTCTTCAGGGTTAGGCAGTAAAACCTTTAAAGCCAATTTACATTTTTTCCCAATTCTACCATACAGTTTGACGCTGGACAGATGCCTTTCTGATTATGTGCAGATACATGGCGTCGTGCTATTTAGATTCTACGGTGGATTTTTTTTTTAAGTTTCGGCATCCACATTTCTACAACTTTTTGCATGGAAGGAACTGTTATCTGTATATGGACCAGTATGATGTTAAATATTTCCTCGCTATTTATTGGTCTGGGACATAAATAAATGATTTGATTCCTCACTATTTTTCTATTTCTCTACCAGAAAGAACGTTATTTTTAGAGGTGGACTGGGGAAAATCTGGATGGTGGTTGATTAATGAGTGGTCTTTGCGCTCCTAGTTTTTGACTCTTCATTCTTCTGTGCGGTATAGCTTCAACCCAAATGGATGAGTCCACAGCCAAAATTCACAATCCAGAAAGCTTCATTAGGCCTATGATCAACTTTTCTTCTTTGAAGAGAAGCTACCCATTTTCTAACTAGCAAAGTTATTCTGAAATGCCAGAGTTTCAAAAGCATTTTGCTGCACTCTGTCCAAGCCCATGTGTGCAATACCTGAATTTCAGCTAGGATTTATTCAGACGATCCAGAAAGTTGGTTCTTCAGAAATGGTAAATAAATTTGTTAAGATGTCATTTAAGAGTAAGGTGTCACTATATGATTTATCTATATCTGCTGTATAAGAAGTCGGAAGTCAGTCTTCTTGTAATATTTCCTTTTTTCCCTTTTCTTTAATTTTCCTCACTTTTGTATTCCTTCTTTATCTCTCGTTTTCTACTTTTCTCTTTGATTATTTGTTCTTGTTTGCTTTTATCTGTATGCTTTTTATAACTTAATAAAGTTCTTATAAAGAAAATAAAAGAAAAGGTAAACAAATTGACTCCTTTGAAGTGTGGTGCTAGAGAACATCTGGGACTGCGAGATGTTCATTCCATCATTCAACAATAGATGAAGAAGAACTACACTGCTCACTGGAAGCAGGAAAAAAGAAGATATTTTGGACACATAACGCAAAGGTAAGCATCACTAGAGAAGACTGTGATGCTTGAAAAGAATCAAAGGCAATCAAAAAAGAGGATGTCAGAAGACAAGGTGGTGAGATACTACCACAGATGACAAAATGAGCTTACAGAAACTCAAAGAGGCAGGTATTGACAGACAGTCCTGGTGAAATGATGTCTTTCAGGTCACAAAAGTCAGAAGCATCTGAATGACTAAACAACAACAGCAATGAAGTGTTTACAGAAACATACCATTCCTCAGGCTTGGGGTAGACCGTGTGACGCAGGGCATTGTCTGGATCGTATTCAAAGGCCACTCCTGCTGTGGGGTTCCACTTGGCATGCTCCTTACCAAAACCCTTCTTAGCGTAGGCCCGGAGTCTTAATTCCTGGCCTTTCCGTAACTTGACAATCAGGATGTCTAAAAAAAGAACCATGGTGCACAAGGTTGAACGGGGGGAATGTCAGCTGGACTGGAGGCCCTGCTTATCAGAATCTAAGCTCAGATGCATCATGATGTGGTGCCCATCAATTTAAAGCAAGACATTTGATGTTCTGCTTACAAAGTCTTCTCCAACCTGATACCTTCCAGATATCTTGCACCAACTCCCGTAATCCTGGGACATGGCCAGAAAGTGTGGGAACTGAGAGAATATCTTCATCATCGCTATCATCTATCCAAACTTAGGATAGCCACCCAATTCCAATGGTTTCTCATTATCAACTATAGCTGTGGTATCTGCTACTCAAGTGATGGCACGTAGACCAGCCATGATGCTCCTTCTCCCTAAAAGGACCATCCTACTTGGGAACATACCATCTGGTTCAACGTAGTCATTGGGGTCATTGTCCCGCCTTCTGGATGTCACCTACAGAGGGCAAAAGAAAGGGAGGTCAAGGAACGAAGGACTCTCCTCTTCAGGACAGTGTTGGCAGTTCAACCTACAAAGTCTGAACGAAGTTATAGACTAACAACGCTGGGTTTACTAATAGGTTTGCTCCTGGGCATGACGCTCTTGCCAAAAATGGGAAACAGGAACAATTATTTTTAATGAGGTTAAACCTTCTTTGTGGTTAGGGTTATGGAATGGTAATTGGGAATGCAGTCAGGGTTGTACCAGGACTGTGGAGGTCCAAATTCATGCTCCAACTATCTAACTATGTCTCAAATGTCTCAAATTTGCTTTGCTGAATACTGAAGTTACAGTTGCTAAGCTCCACAACATGCTAAACCACTAATCATGCTTTACAGATCACAACGGCTGGGTTCACGCAACATATTGAGCAGAAACCAATCACGGGTTGGTTGAGTCAGCATCTTGTGTGAATCCAATATAAATGGAAGGAGCAAGTGGAGGATCTGGTCAGTTAAATTGCATTAACCCTCCAAAATGTCCATTGCATGTGAATGGAAGTCTGTCGAGGTGGCTTATACCTAACTACCCGCAATTCTTAAAGATGCTAATGCCAATATCTGATACATGCAGTAGCTCTAATTGCTTTGGCAGATTCTTATGTTCACTTGTTGCTTAAGGAAGGCCACAGGCCTCAATATTTTGTCTGAGCAATCGATGGCCCTCTTTCTTTGAAAGAAGCGCTCCTCTTTGAAGGAGCACTCCTGGCATGCCCCTTCACTGCTCAGAGGCTTCAGGAGAGACAGCCAGCATCCCATGAGAAAAACCAGCTGAAATCTTGCTAGGTCTAAACTACGTTTAAGCTCAAACCTTTACTCATTTCTGTTCAGGGGAACTGACAAAGACAGAGAATTCCTAAGGTTCTGAGCATTTTGCCAGCCAGGATGTTTCAAATACTCTTCCTTGGGAGATCAGTCAAATTAAACTATGTTCTATGCGGGGGAAAAAGACTTTTTTTCCTGCTCCCTTTCTTCTTCTGTGATTCTGGCCTATTGAAGGAAGCAAAGAGATTTAGTTGGGTAGAGGAGTTTAGCTCTGGTCTCAAGGAGGAGGAAAAGAGAAATGGAGATGAAAAAGAAACTCAGAACAGCCCTGCTTTGACCTTTTTGTCCTTAGAAAGAGGCAGGGGAGGTTCTGGACAGGCTTTCTAGATTCTGTTAATAGTCCCTGCAATGATCAAGTTGCCTTCCTGGATCCCTGCCACGCCTGTGTCTTGACCTGACCTCCCTTGAGGACTCTCATGTTGAGGCAGAGAGCAGGAAACTGACCGGTATAACTTGAGAGTTGTTGGAGATGAGGTCCCGAGATGTGACGTGCCGCGTCTGATCTTCGTTGCATCGGACGTCGAGAGAGAATTCCACTGAGCACTCGGGACAAAACTCGTCGCAGGTGCAGTCCTGGTGAAAAGGGAAGACAGGAAGGATGGAACGGTCCCTCTAGAGCTCAGTTCTCCCAGGGGATTGTCAGCCCTCTAAAGCAGGCCAAACTTGGAAACCTGTTCGGCTGAGGTCAGAAATGGCTTTTTCCGTCATGTTTCTGGAATGGCCTCTTGGGAAGTCAAACTAGATCCCCTGGGCATGGTCTTCTGGAGGTCTGTGAAAGCCAGCCAGACTATTCACCATTGGTTAATTGTCCTGGTTGCTTTTATATTTTGATTTACTGTCGTTATGTCCTGGCATCATGCTGCATTGGAATTTTTGTACTGTGGACATTTTATTATATTGCATGTTGTACTTTAAGCCAACCTGAATCTAGAAGGAGTTGCTGGAAGAGAAATTTAATAAATACAGGTAGTCCCTGGGTTGAGAACGCCCAGGTTACGGGTGACCCATAGTTAAGAACGAAGCCTACTGTAGCAAAATTCGAGTTAAAAACACCATGATTCGAGTTAAATACACAATGGTTCAAGTTAATTACACAATATTACTTACACAGTATTATACAATAATATTGTTCCAGCTTACATACAAATTCAACTTAAGGACAACCTTGGGAATGGAAATCGTTCTTAAACTGGGGACTACCTGTAATCACAATAACAAGAAAGCAAGCCAGGACAAAGTAAGTCACTGGGAGCCGGGAGGCATATAAATTTTTTATTATTATTATTATTATTATTATTATTATTATTATTATTATTTTAGTATCTGCAACAAGAGAGCCTTGTAAGAGGCTATTCTGGGGAGGAGGAAAATCAAAGCAGGAACGTTGACCCTCTATCTCTACTCTTGTACTGATCCTCCAGAAATCTAGTTGATTGCTGGCTTAGACTTACCCTGGAGTATTGCAGCTTATCAACAACACCATCGCTGGTAAGTGGGATCAGACCTAAGTGGAGAGAAATTAATTGATGATGAAAAATGAATGATAATACATCTCAGGGACAAAACGAGGTCAACTGGAAGGAGCGACTGTAGTTTTATGTTTATATTCCAGACCATACTGAATAACAGTAATACACAATATCCTAGTTAGGGGTTGGGGGGAGCACAGAATGAGAGACCTTTAAATAGAGATTGAGTGTAGGTGGAAAAAGGAAAGCCACAGCAATGCCCACAGTGGTTGGTACACTTGGTGGCATCCCAAGGATCTGGACAAGCCTCTGGACGCAATAGAAACGGACAGAATCTTAACTCATCAATTACAAAAAGTTGCATTACTTGGAACAGCACATATAATATGACAATATCTTTGGCTATTCTAGATCCTTGGGAAGGATCTGACAGTTAAAAGCTCCAAATCCAGTCAGAACTGTCTGGCAGACTGTGTGTAAATAGCAATAATTATAACTTAATCTAGAAAATCCCTATAGACACTATTTCCTTCTGTTTCGTGAGTACTCACCTAATCTGTGTGCAATGAACTCATCATGCAGCACTGATGAATTGGCATCAATCTGAACCCAGTCTATAGCTGAAAACAAAATAACAATGAAGTAAACATACCCTACTTCAGACACATTATGCAAAGACTTAGCAGTTCTCTGGAAAAGGCTGTGATGCTGGGAAAGGTGGAAAGAAAGAGAAGGAGAAGATGTCCAGCAGCAAGGTGGATGGAGTCAGTTACAATGAGGATGAGCACATTGTTGGAAGGCCTGAAGGACCAGGTTAGGGAGAGATTACGATGGAGAAAATCTATCTGTGTGGTTGCAAGGAGTCAAAAGCCACTTGATGGCACGTAATCAATCAAAACGTATTTTGGGCCAACAATTGCAGGTTGTACATAAATGGCAAAACACCCTAGAGCAGTGTTGTCCAAACTTGGCCACTTTAAGATGAGTGGACTTCAACTCTCAGAATT